GATCCTCAAGTTTTGTAGGTACCTCTCTTTTAGAAAACGTAGTTTCTTTTAGAAACCTGAAGAGCCAGAAGGTAGAGAACGAAGATGGTGCCAGTGCCAGCCATAGCCAGAGTGGTGGAAGACAGGAGAGCAACTTCAGCTCCATCGAGAGGTTGAGGAACGAGTGTGAGATGAAGCAGAAGCCGCGAAGGAAGAGCGAGCAAAGGAAACTGCGGCAAGGCAGCAGGCTCGAGAGGAATCCGAACCAACGCCAAGATGTTAAAGAAAACTAGCCATGAAATTCCTAGTGGTACTTCATCACAAAAGGCATTGTCTATTAAAGCTTGTTTGCTTAAGCAAAACAACCTAATCACAAAAATGTCATGCGGAGATAAAGGGTTGGCGCAGCAAAAGGGAAAAGGCATGGATTCGGTTGAGCTCCTGCAGGATATAGAGGCTTGCGACGAGCTACTGGATTCAAGGATCAACATACTCGAGTTCGTGCCACTGAGCACCATTGGCGGTGAGGATCAGGGAGGCTCTGATTTGAGGTTCCACACTTGGGCGCTTGTGCTTAACACACCCAAGGGTCAGTTCCTGGTATGGAACAAGAACAGGAACAGCTGCAGGATCAGCCGCATCCTCATCGCTTGCCACTGGAAGAACAGAGTTGCTAGTGACGGTGGACCACTCGTGGCACTGTGGAGCATGCGCCGGCAGCTCATCATCTTGGATGTTTCGACTGGCATGGCTTGCATCTGTCCATCTCCACCAGAGCTTGTGACCAGCTCCTCCTCGTCCTTGGTCTTGAGCACATCTGCGCTTGGATCCAGCCTTGACAAGTTCCAGCTCCTGGTTGTCTATAGCGATTCACATTTGGCCCCAGAGCACAGCTTTCTCATCACTTCTGCTATCTTCGATTCAACAACTGGGATGTGGAGAGTTAAGTCTCGTTATTCTCCTGGATTCACTTGTCGCGAGACCACCGTGTATGGTGACTCCCGGTGGCCTGGATACAGTGCACTGGCGGGTGGCTTTCTTCATGTCATGTTTTGTGAGCCCTCTTCCTGGTGGAGCACACCATGCGTGAGATATGATTTGGAAAGGGATGAGTGGTGCAGGGAACCAGTGTGGACGGTCAAATGGAGTCAAGGCCAGGTCAAGAACATGAGAGTGCATTACTCGGAAGAGACATGGCGGATTAACGCTGATGGCCTACCTCAAGACTTGGTTAATCTTCAGCCGCCACTGGAAGCGGGTGTGGCTAACATTACACGGCGCTCGGATGGCGTCTTTCTTTATGCCTTCTTTACTTGCCAGGGATGCGTGGAGATTGTTTACATCCATGATTTTGAGGCTGGAATTTGGTATGCTCATCGCTATCGAAGGTTGAGGGACTTGCTTAAACTGAAGCCAGTCAAGTCACTTGATTATAATCATGGAGAGAATGTTGATGGCCAGAAGTGGTCCAATCTGCCTACTGACCTTCTGCAGCAAGTCGCGCAACTCTTGTGCACTGTCAGGGATATTAGATCACTGAGCATGGTATGCCACAACTGGCGCAGGACAGGCCAACGTTTGCTCAAGCGATATCAAGAGCCCGCCCTTGTCTTCTGGAACAAGAAACACAGCGAGTTATGCTTCTTTAGGTCCGATAAAGGCTGGTCAAGGATGATCAGAGACAAGAACTTTGCCCACCGTGCTCCCTTAATCACACACGGTCCCCTCTTAATCTCGTGGGAGGGGAGCACCTTGTATGTTACCAACGTTCTCAAGAAAATCTTCTCGACAAAGCGAGTAATGGCTCCGAGTCCGGAAATGGAACGTATCCTCAGGGTTGCATGCATAAGTCAAGAAAAGCTGCTGGTCATTTTCTTCACTGAGTTAAAGGAGGTAGCTCCTGCAGTGGTTAGCTTCAATAATTCAACTCGTCCACAGTGGCAAGTTGGAAATTCTCGCAGGGGCATTGCTACATTGACACCGGTGGAGACTTTCTTTAATGAGCGGAGGCTACCATGGCCTCCAGCTGATGAATGTGGCGCTAGGGACGCTGAGAATGTCATCCTGCTTGGGTCATATGCATACTTCATGCTGAATAGGGTGGTAGCATCCCAGAGGCAGACGGTTTTTCAATACAACTGGGAAAGTGATGAGTGGGTTTCTCAGGAGCAAGTTCAAACCTCATGCCGTGACTGCCATGACTTCTGCGCATACAGCTATCAGTTTCACGTAAAGTCTCCACTCATTCAACTGAATGGACGACCGGCAATCGTGCGACCCACAATGGAAATCTGGTTTCTGGCCGACCCTGGCGGAAAATGCATCGCCAAGATTCCCCAGGAGACATGGGAAAAACTGATTCAAGTGTTAGACACTTCATATGAATACACTTATATATGGGCAGTGGGTAACATTACAGCTCCGAGAATTGTCGTCGTCTCCGTACACCAGTGTACCACCTCGATTCATATGGTGTGCAGCATCAGGAATACTCTAGTGGCCATCATTGTTTGGGAGTTTGTACTGGGTTTGTGGGATGTCATCCCCTACTCCAACAGGGAAGATCGGCTGTGGCTCAAGTCCAAGTATTTTGCCGTTTGCTTGGAGCAGAACAGCGTGGTTATGAAGCACTTGCTAAGAAGATCATGGTTTGACTTCCTGACCGTACCTTGGCACTTGAGAAGCAGGGACAGACGTTTTATAGAGCCGTACATTTTGTCAAGGGCGATGGAGATATGAATCTCTTGAATATGTATACATTTTCATCCTCGTCACAATCCAACGATTTGCATGAAAGTTTGAGAGTGAAGAACGTTCAAACTTAAAAACGATCCAATTTTCTGAAGAATCTCAATGGACGCGTTTGCGGCAGGGAAATCTCGGCCTCTGATCACCAGTCGTCAATCACATTTTAGTTTTTCTGTTGCCAAACAAAAATAAGAAGCTGCTTCAAGTTAGTAAAGTACCTATAGAGCAGCACTCTAACTTTCTATCAGGGTGGTGGACTTTATTCCCTCTCTCTTAAGGCTGAAAGAAACAAGAATGCGAATTTATACAAAGAGAAAGATGTTTAAGAAACTACTCAAGCGCATATTGCTTGCCATATTTACTTCTTATTGGATGATGTATATATATTCGATTGATTAATTTGTTCGTTTTTTAAAAGAAAGCAAAGAAGACTCACGTACTTGCGACGAAGGCTTTCGATCTGGTCCTCGGCTGATTTGGTATCTCGCCGCCTTAAGGCGCCTTTGCAGCTGCTAGAAAGGAAAAAGTAAAGAATGTTAGATCTTCGACAAACTAGAGAATCGATTTGGATTTTACACTGAAACTTGCCTTGTACATCTTCTGCTAGCAACGTCATAAAGATCAAAAAATAGACAAGGAAAAATTATTTCCAGCGCAGTGTTAGGCTCGACCTCTAGGAGATCTTCCTCGTAATATCTTCCACGCCCGATTGGCCGCAAAGCATTCTCCAAAGCTTAGAAGATGATCTATCATTCATATCGACGTAACGATCCAAGCAGCAGTAGGAAGCAAAGTTCTAGCTCGAGAATGGTAAGTCACAATCTTTTCAGCTCTTTTACAGTCATTTCTTTGGCGTGCAGGATTTCTGCTTTGAGAAGGAATGTGTTGGCAAAGTGCTATCGAGGCGACATGACACGAAAGAGGCAATAGGAAGGGAAGATCCCTGGAGTTGATACTCCTCAGGATCTTCATGAGGTAACGGCTTTCGATGTTGCATGAATCTCTGTTGTTGCTAGACGACTCTAAGATCTGACGTAAAGAAAGCAAAAAAAATGTCCAGGGATAAATCCGAGCAAGAAGCAAAGCATCGCCTTCTTCCATCACATATAGTACGAGCACCCAACCTGCTCTGCATGGTTCATGTCGTCTGCCCGAAAGTCCAATTGGCTGGCCAGCTTTTCCCGAGGCCCTGTAAAAAAGTGTGAAGAGCTTATATTTACGTTCCAGCATTCTAAGCTGGGGCAGGCCGGGGGTCCAGAGCTACTCTTCTTCGTTTTGGAGAGTGTTCTCTTACTTTCCTTGCTTCTCCTTTTTTTCTCTCCCTGTTCTTCAGTCGTGAGATTCATGAGTTAAACACGCGACACCTGGGAGATCGGGATCGAGATCGGGATGGAGATCTCGTGCTGACTTTTTGTTTTCGAGGAGCCCAGCAACATGCAATAGACGGATTGTCCCACCACTCAATAGACCATCTCATTTCTTCCCCCACATAGATTCGTTGCGGGGAAAAAATAAGCGCTGCTGTTGGCCATCCCAACTCCATAATAGGGATTATACCAGCCAGGAAGATAATCCACCTTGTCCCACACTCCTTTAGCAATCGCTTTTCTATAATTTCCAATATACAAATCCAGTAATACCGTGGGAGAAAATCGAGGCAGGGGTATACAAACTTCCATGCATGTTTCACACGTGTTTTTAATCCAGGAGCTCTACTGCTACTTGCTGGACGGACTGGGACGGCGAGTCGAGAAGCTGCACAAGCGGCTGTACAGAGCGAGAACGCAAACTAAGTTTGCGTCACCGTGCATTGTAGCCCCCAATCTCGAGTTTGCAGCATCGTGAACAACCTTGGCCGCCAAAGATGTTGGGCAGAATCCTCAAAAGTTCACGAGCACAAAAGGAATCTGGCAAGGACTACTTAGGCTTGTTGGCTCAAAGGTGTGAAGGCAGGGGTGTCACTGGTATTGGTCTAAAGAGGCTGACATTCCCTGTGCCATGCTGACGAGAACTCTGCTTCTATCCGAGCTTTCAAAGTACTCACTGGAACCACAGCACCATATATCGCCCTCTTGCTCGTCGTCCAAGAGATTATTAGAGAGCCTGAGCAGCGGCCTCGGAGGTACTAAGCTTGAAATTTTTCTCAAATGGGACAAGTTCGAATCCTGGGACATACAAGTCTCAAGTTCGAATCCCGGGACGTGTAGGATCTCCAGTTCGAATCCCAGGACGTACGAGGTTTCAAGTTCGATACCCTAGACTAAAAATTCTTTAAACTCTTAAAACTTCCAGAATATTCCCTTGGCTTTGAGAGCTCCAGCGATCACGCACCAGCAACAGATGCCAAACAAAACGTACACAAGCATGGCCCATCTTTGCGATGGAATCATCGCGAAAAATACGTGCTCTCGCGTAAATGTCACCTGCAAAACGTCGAGAGCGTTACCAACAGCTCTCCTATGATGCTTATCTGTGAAATCCAAGGCTCCCAAGATTTACCAGAACAAACTTGCGAGGAGAAGCTACGTACCAGATTTTTTTGCGGCTGCTTCCAGTAGAATCCTTGGACGAAAACCACGAGAACATCGGTTGCTGCAAGCGTGTAGATGATCAGCGAGTTCATTCCCATCCATTCCAGCAGCAAAGTTGGATACCGGATGTCATAAACGTCGACCTGGAACGAGCAGCATGGATTAAAATATCTGGAGACGAGCATGAATGGAGAGTTACGAGGATGTAAAGTAAGCAAAAAACGGCTCCAGCGGCACCGGCAGTGAAGCACATGTAGCTGAAGCTGTAGAGCGGCTTGTTCATCTTAATCCCTGGTGCAAAGCAAATGATTTTAATGAGCATAAACTACAAAGCGCTCGTACCAAGCAGATGCAAGACATAGCCAAGAGCCAAAAGTATGACTGCTGGGACGATGAAGTTTATAATCCTTTGTTTGTGCTCCTGAAACATCTATTCCCAGGCATCAGCAAGAATATAAAACCAAGGGCGGATGACAAGTACCTTGCATTGGACGATAAAATGGCCATAGTGCAGACCAATAAAACATGTTACTATATCCTCGGTCGCTTGGAATCCATGAGAGATCGGCTCGCGCGAGGTTGAGCGCCTCGTCCATTGCTCGTCACATGCAAGGCAAAAAAATTTCTCAAATAGGGCCTTTCAAGTTCGAATCCTGGGGCATACAAGGTCTCGAGTTCGAATCACGGGACGTACAGGGTCGCGAGTTCGAATCCCGTTGGGAGAAAATCTCCAAAAGGGCAAAAGGGCAAAGGCATGGATTCGGTTGAGCTCCTGCAGGATGTAGAGGCTTCCGACGAGCTACTGGATTCAAGGATCAACATACTCGAGTTCGTGCCACTGAGCACCATTGGCGGTGAGGATCAGGGAGGCTCTGATTTGAGGTTCCACACTTGGGCGCTTGTGCTTAACACACCCAAAGGTCAGTTCCTGGTATGGAACAAAAACAGAAACAGCTGCAGGATCAGCCGCATTCTCATCGCTTGCCACTGGAAGAACAGAGTTGCGAGTGACGGTGGACCACTCGTGGCACTGTGGAGCATGCGCCGGCAGCTCATCGTCTTGGATGTCTCGACTGGCATGGCTTGCATCTGTCCATCTCCACCAGAGCTTGTGACCAGCTCCTCCTCGTCCTTGGTCTTGAGCACATCTGCGCTTGGATCCAGCCTTGACAAGTTCCAGCTCCTGGTTGTCTATAGCGATTCAGCTTTGGCCCCCCAGGACAGCTTTCTCATCACTTCTGCTATCTTCGATCCAACAACTGGGATGTGGAGAGTTAAGTCTCGTTATTCTCCTGGATTCACTGGTCGCGAGACCACCATGTATGGTGACTCCCGGTGGCCTGGATACAGTGCACTGGCGGGTGGCTTTCTTCATGTCATGTTTTGTGAGCCCTCTTCCTGGTGGAACACACCGTGCGTGAGATATGATTTGGAAAGGGATGAGTGGTGCAGGGAACCAGTGTGGACGGTCAAATGGAGTCAAGGCCAGGTCAAGAACATGAGAGTGCATTACTCGGAAGAGACATGGCGGATTAACGCTGATGGCCTACCTCAAGCCTTGGTTAATCTTCAGCCGCCACTGGAAGCGGGTGTGGCTAACATTACACGGCGCTCGGATGGCGTCTTTCTTTATGCCTTCTTTACTTGCCAGGGATGCGTGGAGATTGTTTACATCCATGATTTTGAGGCTGGAATTTGGTATGCTCATCGCTATCGAAGGTTGAGGGACTTGCTCAAACTGAAGCCAGTCAAGTCACTTGATTATAATCATGGAGAGAATGTTGATGGCCAGAAGTGGTCCAATCTGCCTACTGACCTTCTGCAGCAAGTCGCGCAACTCTTGTGCACTGTCAGGGATATTAGAGCACTGAGCATGGTATTCCACAACTGGCGCAGGACAGGCCAACGTTTGCTCAAGCGATATCAAGAGCCCGCCCTTGTCTTCTGGAACAAGAAACACAGCGAGTTATGTCTGTTTAGGTCCGATAAAGGCTGGTCAAGGATGATCAGAGACAAGAACTTTGCCCACCGTGCTCCCTTAGTCACACACGGTCCCCTCTTAATCTCGTGGGAGGGGAGCACCTTGTATGTTACCAACGTTCTCAAGAAAATCTTCTCGACAAACCGAGTAATGGCTCCGAGTCCGGAAATGGAACGTATCCTCAGGGTTGCATGCATAAGTCAAGAAAAGCTGCTGGTCATTTTCTTCACTGAGTTAAAGGAGGTAGCTCCTGCAGTGGTTAGCTTCAATAATTCAACTCGTCCACAGTGGCAAGTTGGAAATTCTCGCAGGGGCATTGCTACATTGACACCGGTGGAGACTTTCTTTAATGAGCGGAGGCTACCATGGCCTCCAGCTGATGAATGTGGCGCTAGGGACGCTGAGAATGTCATCCTGCTTGGGCCATATGCATACTTCATGCTGGATAGGGTGGTAGCATCCCAGAGGCAGACGGTTTTTCAATACAACTGGGAAAGTGATGAGTGGGTTTCTCAGGAGCAAGTTCAAACCCCATGCCGTGACTGCCATGACTTCTGCGCATACAGCTATCAGTTTCACGTAAAATGTCCACTCATTCAACTGAATGGACGACCGGCAATCGTGCGACCCACAATGGAAATCTGGTTTCTGGCCGACCCTGGCGGAAAATGCATCGCCAAGATTCCCCAGGAGACATGGGAAAAACTGATTCAAGTGTTAGACACTTCATATGAATACACTTATTTATGGGCAGTGGGTAACATTACGGCTCCGAGAATCGTCGTCGTCTCCGTACACCAGTGTACCACCTCGGTTCATATGGTGTGCAGCATCAGGAATACTCTAGTGGCCATCATTGTTTGGGAGTTTGTACTGGGTTTGTGGGATGTCATCCCCTACTCCAACAGGGAAGATCGGCTGTGGCTCAAGTCCAAGTATTTTGCCGTTTGCTTGGAGCAGAACAGCGTGGTTATGAAGCACTTGCTAAGAAGATCATGGTTTGAGTTCCCGACCGTACCTTGGCACTTGAGAAGCAGGGACAGACGTTTTATAGAGCCGTACATTTTGTCAAGGGCGATGGAGATATGAATCTCTTGAATATGTATACATTTTCATCCTCGTCACAATCCAACGATTTGCATGAAAGTTTGAAAGTGAAGAACGTTTAAACTTAAAAACGAGCCAATTTTCTGAAGAATCGCAATGGACGCGTTTGTGGCAGGGAAATCTCGGCCTCTTATCACCAGTCATCAATCACATTTTAGTTTTTCTGTTGCCAAACAAAAATAAGAAGCTGCTTCAAGTTAGTAAAGTACCTAGAGCAGCACTCTAACTGAACCTGAGAAACGACCAAATGCAAAGGCAGAGAGCAAAGGTGGACAGCAGTGGTGGTGGACTTTAATTCCCTCTTCTTAAGGCTGAGAGAAAGAAGAATGCCAATTTTTTGCCCAGGAAAACATACAAAGAGAAAGATGTTTAAGAAACTACTGCTTTGCCATATTTATTTCTCATTGGATGATGTATATATATTTGATTGATTAATTTGTTCTTTTCTTTAAAAGAAAGCAAAGAAGAGAAATCTGACTCTGACGTACTTGCGACGAAGGCTTTGGATATGGTCCTCGGCTGATTTAGTATCTCGCCGCCTTAAGGCGCCTTTGCAGCTGCTAGAAAGGCAAAAATTAAGAATGTTAGCTCCTTGACAAACTAGAGAATCGGTTTGGATTTTACACTCGAACTTGCCTTGTACATTTTCTGCTAGCAACGTCATAAAGATCAGAAAACAGACAAGGAAAAATTATTTCCAGCGCAGTGTTAGGCTCGACCTCTAGGAGATCTTCCTCGTAATATGTCACGCCCGATTGGCCGCATCCACCCGCTGCCAAGGCCGAAGCATTTTCCAAAGCTTAAAGATGATCTATCATTCATACTGACGGTCTCAAAACCAGGCAAATGTTTGACATAACGATCCAAGAAGCAGTAGGAAGCAAAGTTCTAGCTCGAGAATGGTAAGTCACAATCTTTTCAGCTCTTTTATAGTCATTTCTTTGGCATGCACGATTTCTGCTTTGTGAAGGAATGTGTTGGGAAAGTGCTATCGAGGCGACATGACGCGAAAGAGGCAATAGGAAGGGAAGATCCCTGGAGTTGATACACCTCAGGATCTTCATGAGGTGACGGCTTTCGATGTTGCATGAATCTTTGTTGCTGCTAGAGGACTCTAAGATCTGACGTAAAGAAAGCAAAAAAAATGTCCAGGGATAAATCCGAGCAAGAAACAAAGCATCGCCTTCTTCCATCACATATAGTACGAGCACCCAACCTGCTCTGCATGGTTCATGTCGTCTGCCCGAAAGTCCAATTGGCTGGCCAGCTTTTCCCGAGGCCCTGTAAAAAAGTGTGAAGAGCTTATATTTACGTTCCAGCAGCCTTTCTAAGCTGGGGCAGGCCGGAGCTACTCTTCTTCGTTTTGGAGAGTGTTCTCTTACTTTCCTTGCTTCTCCTTTTTTTCTCTCCCTGTTCTTCAGTCGTGAGATTCATGAGTTAAACACGCGACACCTGGGAAATCGGGATCGAGATCGGGATGGAGATCTCGTGCTGACTTTTTGTTTTCGAGGAGCCCAGCAACATGCAATAGACGGATTGTCCCACCACTCAACAGACCATCTCATTTCTTCCCCCACATAGATTCATTGTGGGGAAAAAATAAGCCCAACTCCATAATCAGGAAGATAATCCACCTTGTCCCACACTCCTTTAGCAATCGCTTTTCTATAATTTCCAATATACAAATCCAGTAATACCATGGGAGAAAATCGAGGCAGGGGTATGCATACTTCCATGGGTGGCTGCGGTGAATGTTTTACACTTGTTTTTTATTCCAGGAGCTCTGCTGGACGGCGAGTCGAGAAGCTGCACAAGCGGCTGTACAGAGCGAGACCGCAAACTAAGTTTGCGTCACCGTGCACTGTAGGATGTTTACGAGCCCCCAATCCCCGCTCAAGTTTGCAGCATCGTGAGCAACCTTGGCCGCCAAAAATGTTGGTCAGAATCCTCAAAAGTTCATGAGCACAAAAAGAATCTGGCGAAGACTACTTAGGCTTGTTGGCTCAAAGGTGTGAAGTCGGGGGTGTCACTGGTATTGGTCTAAAGAGGCTGACATTCCCTGTGCCATGCTGACCAGAACTCTGACGATCACCCGGCTTCTATCCGAGCTTTCAAAGTACTCACTGCTCCACGAGTGGAACCACATATATCGCCCTCTTGCTCGTCGTCCAAGAGATTATCAGAGAGCCTGAGCAGCGGCCTCGGCGGTACTAAGCAAGTTATTAAGCTTGCGTTTGCGGCCTATGTGTTGATGGCAGGAATCTACGAGACGTCGAGAGTCTGATCTTTAGAGTGTTGAGTTCAACGTCCCCAATCTCGTTCGCGTTGTGAGGATTGTCTGGCGTTAAAAATATAAGCGCAGATTGCCACGGAGAGTCCTTTCACGGGAATCTTGTCACCTTGGCCACAGAGCGAGCACTGAAACCTATAGAAATTTTTCTCAAATGGGACAAGTTCGAATCCTGGGACTGCCAAGGTCTAAAGTTCGAATCCCGGGACGTGTAGGATCTCCAGTTCGAATCCCAGGACGTACGAGGTTTCAAGTTCGATACCCTAGACTAGAAATTCTTTAAACTCTTAAAACTTCCAGAATATTCCCTTGGCTTTGAGAGCTCCAGCGATCACGCACCAGCAACAGATGCCAAACAAAACGTACACAAGCATGGCCCATCTTTGCGATGGAATCATCGCGAAAAATACGTGCTCTCGCGTAAATGTCACCTGCAAAACGTCGAGAGCGTTACCAACAGCTCTCCTATAATGCTTATCTGTGAAATCCAAGGCTCCCAAGATTTACGAGAACAAACTTGCGAGGAGAAGCTACGTACCAGATTTTTTTGCGGCTGCTTCCAGTAGAATCCTTGGATGAAATCCACGAGAACATCGGTTGCTGCAAGCGTGTAGATGATCAGCGAGTTCATTCCCATCCATTCCAGCAGCAAAGTTGGATACCGGATGTCATAAACGTCGACCTGGAACGAGCAGCATGGATTAAAATATCTGGAGACGAGCATGAATGGAGACATACGAGGATGTAAAGTAAGCAAAAAACGGCTCCAGCGGCACCGGCAGTGAAGCACATGTAGCTGAAGCTGTAGAGCGGCTTGTTCATCTTAATCCCTGGTGCAAAGCAAATGATTTTAATGAGCATAAACTACAAAGCGCTCGTACCAAGCAGATGCAAGACATAGCCAAGAGCCAAAAGTATGAATGCTGGGACGATGAAGTTTATAATCCTTTGTTTGTGCTCCTGAAACATCCATTCCCAGGCATCAGCAAGAATATAAAACCAAGGGCGGATGACAAGTACCTTGCATTGGACGATAAAATGGCCATAGTGCAGACCAATAAAGCATGTTACTATTGCTGATACAGAGCTAGTGTGACACAAAAAGATATCAGAACGCAAGACATGATTAAAAATGCTACCTTAGGATTCCTTCTGGATCAAATGGCGCGTGACACCACACAGGAGCATCCGCAGGAAGGGGTCCATAGTCAGGAGAATTTATGCTACAAGACTGCGATAACAAAAAAAAAAGGAAATAAATAAATAAATAGAGATGAGACATGAAAGAGCTAAAACCAAATGTGAATACCTCGGTACGTATAAAAACAGGTCGCTGGTCAAGATGATTAACTCCTAATATTTGTCGATCTACGTAGCCAACAGCGTTGCAGGGAGGATCAAGATTACTTCTGGTACCGCAAGTCACCTAAGAATTGAAAACTCTGCAAGTCGATATCATCAGACAAAAGATTCGCAAACTTACAGTCATTGTTATGTTTCTATTATTTGGTAGCTCGAATTGCCAGTCAGGAACTTTAAGTCCATACAAAAGTGATAGATAAACTGTCAGTGTCACGACGACGAAGATCCTGAAAGCACAAAAATGGAAAAAAAACGTGAGGAAATGGAGAAGCAGACCCAGCTGTTATACCAGTGAAAGAGGTAGTTTTGCATAAACCCAAAGTATGATCCTTGCACTCTTGGTAACCAGACCTCACACAACGCAACGACCAAGTAAACAAATGCAATTCTCTGGTGGGAAAACGTTTAGTAAGAACTACACAATCGAGCGTGGCGAAGCAAACCTGGAGAATTCCGCACCATCTAATGAGCGTCAAGTCTACTCCATAGCTCAAATCGTTTTCTCCATGGAAGTAGCCACCTACAACACTCACATAAGCAAAACAATACTCAAAGGACGAGCTAACCTTGTAGGAAAACACCCAAGAAGAACAGCTTTAGCGAGCGAAGTATGGCCTTCCTGGTGGAGTCAAGCTTGCTGGGAATTTTCTGCGAGAGGAAAGCGTCATGGTGATCACGGAAAAATCTAGAAAGACACAATGAAGAACACCTTATAGACCAGAGCCAGAGCCACTCCAACGATGAAGAGGAAAAATGGCATGACGAGATCAGCTAGAGTGACTCCATTCCACGGCGAATGATTGATCGCTGGCCACTCGCCCCCTGCATTGTCGACCAAAATCATCATCTGTGGACGATCGTCTCAGAACAACCAAATATTTCTCTACTGTTTCTCCGCTTACCGCAATGCTTAATCCCCGAAACACATCGAGCGACGCCAGCCTCTCCTTCGGACGATCTCCGCCGCCGATTTCACGCTCAGTGGAAGCTTCAGCTAGAGCAGCATCCTCGGAATTCGCATCCCCGGCATCGATCACAAGAAAAGGCTCCTTGAGCGCCTCGGATTCACTAGCGGTAGCTTCCCCAGGCTTGGCATCCAGCCTCTCGCCAGCACCGATCACTCCAAACCTCCCCATTGCCCCGCGCAGCGTCAGTCTACACTAACCTCCATGGATTCAAAGAACCCTAGAAAATGGTAACCATCACGCAATCCGCGCCGTTGACACCTCAATCAAATTTCAGCCGTTGCCTCTGCCGACGGCCACGATCCAGCCAACACGGCATCAAAAACTTACAACAATGAGAGCCGTTGGATGTAAACTATCTATAACTTGCTTATTTATTAAGTAAACTATCTATAACTTGCTTATTTATTAACAAAGCTTTCTTAATCCACAAACTAAACTATTTCCTCTCCTTTAATCAATCTAGAGTTTTCTTCCATTTTCAATCGACCTTGGCGGCGCTGCTGTCGATGGCTTTGATAGCTTTGATCTTGTTGTCTCGATCGCTAGCAGCTTCCTCCTCCTCGATGATGAGACCACCTTGATCGTCGTCATAGCCATCCTCGATTGGAGCATAGTTGAGCTTGCGAGTGGCGTAGCACCAAGCGTCGTAGCAGCTTTCCAGGTTGGGCCAGTCCGAGGAGGAGTGGACGAACTCGTTGAGCCAGAGAGCCAGGACGAGCTCTTGCTGAGCGTCGGGGAGGAGCTTGATGGTCCGCTCCAGCACTCGCTCGGCTTCGTGCTTCTCGGCGGAGGTGAACATGGTGGCGTCGATTCCGTGCGTGGAGCGGCAGAAGAGTGGCAGCCACAGGAGCAGCAGCTTGAGTGTTACTTCCGACGGTGGCTCCACTTCGGAGGCGATCAGTCCCGAGCACAAGAAAGCTGGAAAAAAAGAAAGATAAAAATCTATCAGTACCTCAAGCTATGAAGAGAAAAAGCGAAAGGAAGACGTCCAAGCTGCTGCTTTGTACGCTTTGATCAGCCATGCAAGGAAGTCCAGCTTATAGGCCAGGCAAGAGAAAGCAAAGTAGAAAACAATGCTAGAAAACAGTACAACACAAAGCTAGCCAAGAGGAAAGTTTTGACACTCCATCAGGAAAACATAAAGAAGAACACGAAAGAAGAAGATAACTGAGACAGGCAAGCGTGGCGTCTACAACTAAGCAAGAATCTAGACAACTACGACTAGAAATCTACGAAAGGTGAAAGCAAAAAGCTTCGAGACTGACCTGAGAGCTTGACAAGCAGCCTTTGAACTCTGAGATTGGCACAAACCGACTGCCCAGCGAGCCCCGCCGCCGAGCTCCAGTGCAAGATGGCCACTTCCAAACCGTTGTTCTCTTTCAGCCTCTGCGACATCCACAGCAGCTCCTGCGCAAGCTTCTCCGCCACCTCGCTGTCTTCCGCGCTTGGACACGGCGGAGGAGCCATCATCTGCATGCACTGCGACTGCATCACGCTGCCAATCCTGTTCCTGAGAGTCGCGAGCACCGGCACAAACTGGCACGAGAGCGAAGCCGCACCCATGGGCAGTCCTTTGATCATCTTCCACGGCCATCCCCACGCCTCAACCTGCTGCTGCCTGTGCAAGCCCTCGAGAGAACTCGCCAGCATGTAGACTGTTCGCAAGAAGCCGGTCTCGAGAGCCATCCTGTTCACTTCGCGCAGAGACTGGCCACCTTGCTCGACGTTGTCGTACATCATTTTATCTGCGAGTGATCGAGCGAATTCATACTTCCGGGACGATGCTGGTATGTCGTTGACAAGCTCTAGGACCTGGAAAAAAAAAAAAAAAAAAACAATCAGTTCCACCCAAGAGAGAAAAAAGCTATACTACCTTAGAAGCTCAGAACTAAAAAGAACAATCGACCCCACTTAGCACAGAACTAAAAAGAGGAATCGACAGAAACTACTAAACCACTACAAACACTAAAAAACTCTCTACAAGCTCAAAGTAAGATGCCAAAGACATTAGAAAAGAAATTTCGCTCAAACTAGAACTAGTTTGGAACGACCAAGAACACTAAAAAAATTCTCCAGAGAAACGACCAAAAATTCAGCTCTGATTCTAGTATCAAACAAGGATTTCCCGCTATAGAGCCCAGAGAACCGAGAAACTGACCTGGGAGAGCGCGCGGCCGATGGCACACTTGGCCAGGCCGCCTGCCTGGCCGGACCACACAGTCCGCCGATTCGATCCATCCTCGTCCTCGGCCGAAACAGGAAAAATACTGCCCGTTGTCTTGCTCACGCTATCGATCACGCCAAGAATCCCTGCTGTCGGCAAATGCTGCGGCAAGAAGACAAGCAGCGCCCTCGCGATCCATGCCGCAACCCACAGCACGATCATCGCCATGAACCGGAGCTGTTCCCACAGCCCCCATTTGCTATTGCCGCGCTCCCATTCCACCAGCGCGCCTTTCACCAGCGCGTTCTTCACAGCGACCTGGGAAGCCATCGCCGCCGCCCGGGATTCCGAGATCGAGCAAGAAAAAGACCCGCGATCCCGGCCGAAATATTTCTCGCGGAGATGAGAGCCGCGGCGATCGGAGAGAGAGATTTTCAATCCATGCAGAGAGGATCGAGAAGAGTGGAGGAGTGAGAATCAATCTCGCATGCTCGCCGCGCTCGCCACACGCATCGATGGACCCCAAAAACCCCTGAGCAACGCCGGCCGTTGATTAATACGCGCCACTAGATTCCCGGAAAATATTCCAAGATTCGAGTCACAGGTGAGCCGTTCAATTCCGGCCCACCGCAAAGATTCCATTGTAATTTTAACTTTACACATTCTCTATACACACTTTCGTCTCGTTTGGAGAGAGCGCAAAATTTTGCAAAACTGTCGCGCGTTGTCAGGTCAGTCTTCCTTGATCTAAGCCAAGAAAAAAAAAGAGAGAAAAAAAAGGAGAGTGAGAAGAATCCACGAAGACGAAGAAGAATGAGATTTTCTAAGCTAGCTCGCGATAGAAAGAAAGAACTTGCCTGGTTGCTCGGAGTGCTGCTACTGCCGAGACTGCTACTGCTGCCACTGCCGGTCGTGATTGCCTTGGATTTGGATTTGGCACTACTGGAGTTTGGATGGAAACGCTGCCAAGTATCGGTCAGCAGGCGCCTTCCAGATTCTACCACCACAATCAATCGAACCAAAAACGCCACTATGTTGTTGTAGATGCTGGAAGAAATTAACACTCGTATCAGAAAGTAGTTGCCAAAACTTTCTACCTCAAGCGATGGCGGTTGAGCGCAGTAAAGAATGCGACCAGACCATTGAGTATGTATCTTACAGCTCGAAACACCTATATAAAAGGCGAAGTTGGAAGTGAAAACTCTGGTGGAAAAGGAAATAAAAAAGAGTACCTTTGAGAAGAGATCATCCCAGAGGATCCTCCACATCGATGGTGTCCGAGAGGTTTGCACTGCGGAACTCGCTGTCCATAGCTGAAACGATTGGCTTGTGGCTGTCCAGGACTGCTTCAATAAATTCAGGAGCTCCTGCGAAAAGGAAGTCCATATTGCTGCAGCATACTGTCGAGCATAATCTCCAAGAACAAGAACCACGCGAAAAGCCGGTAGCACAGGCCCCATAATCGAAGACACTGCAGTAACAAGCATCGATGAGTGTTAGTTGCATAACAAATCAATCACCATTAAGCTTAAGTCGCTCACCTAAGTTCGTCACTGTTGTCAGCAGCACCCAGAACGGCCAAGTCACAAAACTTAAGGCGTAAGAAACCGCACACAGCGTGGACGCGAAGAAGCTTTCCAAAACGAGTTGCAGAGATTGCGTCCCTTGAACAAAAGTCGCCCAAAACGGAAGGAAGAAACTCCACAAGAGCTGCAGCGGCTCCATGACGGGTTTCATGACAAGCGAGGCGAGCTGACGCACCGACTTGACGATGAGAAACACCCACGCAAAAGCCTTCTCGTAGTTCTGTAGAACCAGCATCGTCCCCAGGTACTTTAGCCGAGAAACCATCTCCCAGGACTCTATCCATTCGAACAGTGGCCCCAGCATATGACTCGCCGTTGCTTTCAGGACGGGGACGTTCTTGTACAAGTCGTAGAAGCCGATCATGACCGTCACCACCGAAATGAGAAAGTAGATGGTCCTGGCGAGAGGTCGCATCCACGGCCGATATATGTTGCAGAACACTGGATACGACTGCATGAAAATGACCCAGGGGAAAAGCCCCGACTCGAGCATCTTCAGCAGACGTTGGTCCGACGTGATTATGTCTCTGAGCTCGAACGGCAGTAGGGGGTCCGAAAATCTGAACACTACCAGCGCGTCCTTGTAAATGTGAGCCACTGGAACCTCTGGCGAATGTTTTGTGGCTTCGTCTCGACTGCTGCGCAGCTTTCGTCGAGAACAGAACACTGGCGACTGAGTGGATTCATCTGACGGGGAGTATGGGCTGCACGGAAGATCTGTTTCCAGAGTTAAGTCCATTATGTCCTTCTCGGCGTCAGTGACAGTGCTCTCGGATTCGGGTGGCCAGACCTGTCGTACGGGACTGAAAAATCCGCCATCCGCTGCGTATCTATCAACACCATCTTCGTCTACGCATTGTCTCTTGCACCTATCGGCGTCCACAAAAATATCGGCCTGGCATCTTCCCCGTTTACCACTCTGCTTGCTTCCCAGACCGCAGTGCGACCCGTAAAAATCTAACGCGTGCTCGAGACAGTCGAATTCTCTCTTTCGCATTTGTTTCACTTCCAACGAGAGACAAGTATCTGTCTGTTTGAAAACCTTTAGTACGTGATCAAAAGAAGAAAACGAAGAACAACTTACCTGGAGCTCGTTTGTGTAGTTCATGCCTCGGACGTCAGCCCAAGAAACCTCGAAACCCACGCAACCGTGGAACTGCGGGCAGAGAATTCCCGAGTGAACCAGGCTCTTGTAGTGTCGCCGGATGATCCCATAGATCGAGTCCCAGTTGTAGAGGTGTAAGTGTTTGAGCCCAACGTTGATGGAGTCACCACCACTTCCTCCCATCTCCAGCTTATCACTCCTGCTACTCAAACGCTGGTTTGCGAAAGGTGACACTCTCGACTGTGGAGAGAACCAAAGTAGTTCTTCGTCAGCTCCAACGAGAAAGAGAAGAAAAAGAATCTCAGACCTTCGCCACCACGAATGGCCAAAATTCTGTCGGTCTCAAGCCTAGAGATTTGCTCACACTCCATGGTCCATTGTCCACCAAGAACACTAGGCTCGCATTATCGCAGGGCATGAAGAGGAAGAGCTCCGATCGATAAGACTGGATATCCCTGTCACAGCAAACGATGCGACTCCGAAATGCCGGTGGAATTCCCCAACAAACTTACCCGATCTGGAGAGAAACGAGGAGATAGAGATGGTGATGCTCCGGGACGCCGCCGGCGTCACACTGCCGCTCCCGCCGCGCCATGGAGCCGCTAAAACCCTAAGATCCCGCGGCAAGATCATCGATCAGCCTGGAATTCAAGCGTCATTGCCCCGCGGCTGGCAGCTCCGGAGCTCCAGAGCGCCCGGCGATGAGTAGCGCCACTCGAGCGCCTTGTCCCTCGGAGAGCTCATTCTCCTGCGTGTGCCTGACAAGAATTCCGCGGGCTCGACGAACCAGATGCGTCCACGTCGGAGTCCAACGTGTACTAGCCAGCTCGGAGCACTTTAGAGTAAAAGCCCTAGAAAGAATTGCCACGTCACCATGTGAGAAGTAGGGTTTTTTTCATACGGTAGCGATGCTCAAGTTCCTCAAGGGCGTGGTTGGATCTGCCGCTGGCGGGATCAAGGATCTCCCATACAGCATCGGCGATCCCTACGCCGCGAGCTGGGGATCATGGACGCATTGCCAGGGAACATCCAAGGTGCGCTCCATGCTGCTAGATTTGTGAATGTAGATCTGGAAATATTTCACAGGAGGACAATTCCCCCGTGTCGATCTTCTCTTTCACGGCCTCTGGCGCTCAGGATGGTCGGCTAGCGCCAGCGCGCAATGGTGTCAAGCGCCTTAGAACGGTAGCGTGGAGAATTTCGTTCTTTTTGGTTGGAGACTGATTTGGTGCTTCCAGGTGCGGCATCCAAATGTTCTATCCTTCCTCCATAGCACCGAAGTGGAAGGAGTGGAAGGGAAGATCACCATTTACGTTGTGACTGAGCCCGTGATGCCTCTAGCGGAGAAAATCAAGGATATGGGCTTGATAGGCACTCAAAGGTGAGTAATGGTATCCCTCTTGCGTTTTTCTTTTCACGAAGAGCTTCTTGGTTGTTTACAGGGATGAGTATTTCGCCTGGGGATTGCATCAAGTTTCCAAGGCCGTGAGCTTCCTCAACAATGACTGCAAATTGGTAAGCTCTTTGTACTGTTCTTCTAAGAGTTTTGTTTGAGTTTTGTCTTCCAGGTACATGGAAATGTATGTTTATCTGCCGTTGTGGTTACTCCCGCACTGGATTGGAAGCTTCATGGCTTCGACGTGCTTGCGGAGTTTGATAGTGCGAATCCGGAGGCATCTGGACCCATGCTGGTAAGTAGTGCCTTGTATTTCTCACTGATGTAGTTTTGATGGGGTACTTCCTCGTGTGAGCAGCAATATGAATGGTTAGTGGGGAGCCAGTACAAGTCTTTAGAATTTGCCAAAGCCGACTGGGCGTTAATTCGCAAATCTCCTCAATATGCGCTGGATGCGTGGGGTCTAGGTGGGCGTTTCGACTTCATTTGTTTTCGAGAAGTGATGCAAGGTTGCTGTAGGATGCTTGATATACGAGCTATTCTCGAACACAAATCTGGCAAAAACGGAGGACTTACGAAACACAGCACCAATTCCCAAGGTTTTGTGGCGGCCGGAGTGATAGTAGAGTATTAACATTACGTTGCAGAATTTGTTGCCCGATTATCAAAGGTTGCTGAGCTCTCAGCCCTCACGGAGACTAAATCCTTCGAAGTTGATAGAAAACAGCGGTAATATTGTCCAGCACTATTTTATATTTACTCGTTTTGATGCGCAGATTTCTTTCAAAATAAACTTGTGGAAACAATCCAGTTCATGGAGGTCCTGAACCTGAAGGATAGTGTTGAAAAAGACTCGTTTTTTAGAAAGCTGTCAACTCTTGTGGAACAGCTTCCTCGGCAAATAGTTTTGAAAAAGGTACGGCATTTCCCAGCTAGTGCTGGACTCATTTTTTTCACGACCAGATTCTTCCAATGGTGGCTTCAGCTCTGGAGTTTGGGTCCGCAGCAGCTCCTGCGTTAACTCCGTTTTTGAAAATGGGGGCCTGGCTGTCACAAGACGAACTAACATCCAAGGTCATAGACCATACGTATGTGCTCGTACTGCATTTTCTTTTATTTCTTTCAAGTTTTGGATTGGCAACACTGCACCGTCGTTCTGCATTTTCTCCTTATTTGTAAAGCGCCTGACTCTCTTTATTCATAGGTTGTGCCGACTATTGTAAAACTTTTTGCGTCGACCGACCGTGCTATTCGAGCAAGTTTATTGCAAAACATTGATCAGTATGGAAATGCTTTTCCATCTCAACTCTTGGATGAGCAAGTTGAGTTCTGTAGTCACTCGAATCTAAAAACTAAAAATGCCTGCACAGGTTTTTCCGCATTTGGCGACTGGTTTTTCGGACACTTCTGCCTTGCTACGAGAACTAACGTTGAAGTCAATGCTCATTCTTGCACCAAAGGTTTTTTTTTTTTTTTTTTCCCATGTCAAAGACCATTATAACCTTCATTCTGAAAGCAGTTGTCTCAAAGAACCATTACGGGATCTCTGTTGAAACACTTATCGAAATTGCAGGTTCCTTTTTCTCTTCTTTTTTCTTATAGTCTGATTCTTATATGACGCATTTCAGGTTGACGAAGAACCTGCGATACGAACGAACACTACAATTTTACTGGGAAACATTGCCGGCCTTCTTAACGACTCTGTAAGCTCTTCCTTTTGTATTTTCTTCCATTCAAGTTAGATATTTCATGTAGACAAGAAAAAGAGTCTTGATCAACGCGTTCACGGTGAGGGCTCTAAGGGATGGATTTGCTCCTGCAAGGGGTGCTGGTATGCATTTGAGCTCTTTGAGCTCTTTCCTTCTTTAATCAATGTGTTACTGATTTGTTCATTTGATAAGGTATTATGGCCCTCACAGCCACAAGCCAATACTACGATGTGGTAGAGATTGCTACTCGGGTGCTACCCAGCCTTGTTAATTTGACAATCGATGCTGACAGGTTTCAAAAAGTTTTTCATCTTTTATTCTAGTTGCCTCACTATTTGTCAATAATGTCCAGTGACGTGAGGACTAAAGCCTTTGAAGCTACTGAAACATTCTTGCAGCTTGTCAGGAGGCATCACAACAAGGTAAGCATTCTCCACATCGAAAATTGATTAAAAAAATCATCACTTACCAGCAGCTCGAGGATGGAATGAGTCCCAGTGATAACGCTAGTATTCTCCCTGTCGCAACGTCAGGCCTTCTCGGGTACGTCCTTGTAATGCTTATTACTTTTGATAGCTGACTATCTCTTGTCGTCTAAAGCTGGGCTGTGAGCTCTCTCAAGACCAAGGCTCCCGATCTACCGAGCCAAACATCCGGCACTCTTTCAACCGTGTCATCGGAGCCTATCGCCGCCACTGCTGCCGCTGCGCCTTCTGTGGAGCATCACCAGCCAGCACGCCAGCCCAGCACTTCCTTGAGCGAAGATTTCTTCGACAGCGTAGCCGACGACCAAAGAGCGGACGACGAACGAGATGGATGGGACGACATGGAAGACTCGGCAGCTGCCACAGCAACTCCATCGCTGTCGAGAATACAAGCTGCGCAACAGCGTCCCATCGCATCGGCACCTCGCCCGTCCCATGCGAACACAAACGGCCCCGAGCAAACAACCACTGGTAAGAGAGTCTCCAACTTTTTCCTCCGCTGCGTTTCTCATTTCTTCTCTTTGCTTCGCAGGAGCAACGGTTGCTAGACAAGCAAGCAAAACCCAAGTGAGCGATGACGAGGATCCGTGGGCCGAGATCGCTGCGCCACCTCCATCGACGAAACCACGGCCAGTTGTTTCAACTCAGTCGAGAGTAAGGCAGGGACAGCACGTATCTTTGGGGGCCATGGGCTTGGGCGGTGCTGGACGAGGCCGAGGACGAAGCTCAGCAGCGCCCATGAAGCTTGGCGCTCAACGCGTCACAAAACCTCCTCCATAGTGACAAGAGCGCTGGAGTTTTATTCTTTGTACTATAAGAAAGATAAAGATTTTTTCCAAGTGTATGGACATCGTGAAAAAGAAATAATTTCAGTAAGATGCTTTTTAGATTCGTCCAGATAACTTTAAACTTTTTGGATGAGGGGTTTCTTGACAAGGTCAATACAACAAAAGCATTGGCTAGACCGTCAGCTCATTTGGAGGGCACAGTGTGGAGGCATGGACGGGTAAGCTAAGCTCAAGCGCCATATTTTTGCTAGTCAGTCATGGGTTCTTCCTTGTCGAGGTTTGGGATCGACCCAACCCAAGAGAAGAAATCTCTTCGATCTAAAAGCTTTCTTTTGGTTTTCTGTGTGTGATCAGCCAACACAGCGTTAAGACTGTCTCTGCGCAGGAAGCCCAGGCGCTGATGAAAGATGAGGGCTATGGATACTTGGACGTGAGGTATAATTGTGTTCTAAACTTTGATCCTAGCGGAAGTTTTCGTGTTTCTGATTTTGATCTCTCCAACTTATCAGGACTGTTGAGGAGTTTTCTGCGGGACATGTGGAGAACGCTGTGAACATCCCATACAAGATCAAGAGCGGCTTTGGTATGTCTGGCTTTAAATTTTTACTTACTGAGAAGTGGCTGTTTTTCCAGGCATGGCTTCAAACCCAAAGTTTGTGGAAGAAGTTTCAGCCAAGTTTCCAAAAGACACAAAGCTTGTAATTGTAAGGAAGAACTCCTTTTCTTTTCTTTTTTCCTGGCTGCCTGTGAATCTTAACTTCTGTTTCTCAGGCTTGTCAGGGTGGCATGCGATCTGCAGCAGCTGCTAAAGAACTCAAAGCCTTGGTAAATTAAATTCACTTTCTGTGCTCTCTTCTTACATTCTTTTTCTTGGCAGGAATTTGCCAACCTTGTGGACATGGCTCCTGGATTTGGAGGCTGGGCTCGCTCGGGCTTACCTTCTACAAAGTGACACATGAAAAATAGTTGCTCTCTTAAATAATTCTACATCTCGTAGGAATTAATTTACTTGTCTGTTTCAAACAATAATTCTACATCTCGTAGAACGTTATTATCTGTTTTATATAAAATGGACATCAGTGCCCATGAGCATATGGATTTAAAGAGGTGATGACATGGTGTTCTTAGACACATTGTCTTAGCCAGGCGTGGTCAGAGTTCCTAAACACATTGTAGTTAGAAGGTTGCAAAGGCTTTATTCAATTCAAAAATAAATTCTATGCATTTCCAGAGGAGGGAAGTGCATTTTCTTTGGAGATGTGCCCCTTTCCATCCTGATCCATATAAAGGATTTCCCAGGGTGAGAGGATAGTTAAGTGGGAGCATTTAGAAATCAGCAACTCACTCTTTTATTTATGTTTGGAGGCCCTTCTTTTGGTTGCTCCAAAATTTAAG